CTTGGCAAGAAGCAAACGCAGCAGCAAACATAAATCGTATGTGACAACATCAATTTAGCACACACATATTTATCGCCAATCGTGTGCGCCGTTTCCAGTGTCGCACATGGGTCTTAAACCGTGTGTGTGTTCACGGCTCATCCTCACCAATCACTAGAGACGGTTAAGCAAATCGTGCGCAACGTCTAAAACAGGCCGTGTGTGATGCCCCGATCTGTAGTATCTTGTTGGTCCCGGCGATCTGTAGTAGAGGCCTTTATCGCAAAAAAAAGGCAGGACAACTGAGATAATAAAATTTTTAACTCCACTGTGGCAGCACATAAGTGTGTTGGAGCTCCACACTAGCAGCAAGTGGAGACATTTCATTTGCCCCCTTCCAAATAAAGGTTGATCAGGTAGAGCTCGGCACAGGGTCTGCCCATATCAATTACTAGATAGGAAGTGCGGCCAGCCGCACCCACTTAGTCGTAGCAAACCCGGTAAAAAAAAATAACCTAAGATGGAAATGTAGATTGGGCAAAGAGATAGAAAAGCGTAATTATGAAAAATACAGCATTACTCAAAGATTAAAGAGATAGTAGATACTTATCAAAATTCCAACTTGATTCGGTCATATCCAGGCTGGTAAACCAATATATATATGTTACACAGGATGCAAAGGTCCATACCATGAAAGTTCATTACATGTCATTGATGCATTTCCTATAATATGTACCATGATACACCAAAAGCTTCAAAGTTTGGTACAACATCATAATAATAAGTTCTTTCACATCCTTCCAAGATATACGTCAAATATACAATGAGAAATTAATTCAAATAGTCAAAAGATGCCTTGACACTGACATATAATCAAGGAATTGTACAAAAAAAATCACACTTAAATAATTCGAATCAACAAAACAAAAGATTCAAGAAAGATCAACATAGAAAACTGGGCTTTGCTCTAAAGGATAAAGGTGCCAGAAACATATACATACTGTCCAGATCGACAGATATACTGAATTTTCTCTTCTCTAATATGAGATCTTCTATGTACCATAATCTCCAACAGAAATATGGACATAAATAAACGCCTCTTGTCTCAGTAAATAGATTGAATAGCACACACATACTTGCAACTCGTGATCTGCATGACAGCACAAAAAACACAAACAAATGAAGGCAATGAGACCATGAATCATGGGCAAGCTACTGCATGACAACTGCAAGCAACCACAACATCAAATTCAGGCCATGTAGGTTGTTGTAACACACAATGCTAATAGCGAGGGGAGTGACATTTATAGATGATACCGACATCGAAGGTAAACAGAGCAACCCAACTGTTAATTCTGTTGTTGGACAAAAACCTAAGAAAGTTGTATCTACACAGATTGATTAGAAAACAAGAGAGGAACTTTAAATAGAAGATGTGAGAGAATGAAGCAAATGCCATACTTGAAGATCTTTGCAGAAAGATATTGTCCAATTTGGGAACTACACATGTAGCATTGAGAAGGCGTCCATAACTACATCATCATTTATCTAAAATAAGGCGACATGCTTTGTTCAACACACATAGTTTAGTAGTAAGTACAAAAAAGAGAAAAACATATGTGTATTTTAGAGCCGGAAGGATTGTAAGAAACATAAGTACTATTTGCAGATTATTATTCAAAAGCTAGAAAATAATCTCAAGAGCTAAACAGAGTTGGTCTCACTTAGTATCTAGGATTAGAACCTCGGGCTTATGACAGCGGCGGAATCAGTCATTCTGATGGCACAATTGGGCTGAATCGATGCACGACAACATGTAAAAAATTGCAAAGACTTTAGTTATTCCCTGCTAGCTATTACATGTTCATTAGAGCTATTAGATATATCAGCTGAAAGTGGAAGATGATGTAAAAAGATGGGACTGAATCAACACAAGAAAACATGTAAAAAGTTCAGTGTTGGTCAGTCGAATCACGTAGTACATTATGCTTCCACTTTCAGGTTTACATAACTTGAAAGATAACCTCAACTTAAAATCTAGAACATGACTTGTATGATTAGTAAAGATTCTCATTGGAAAACACATGTCTCGGAAAGGTAACGTCAACTTAATATCAAGAACACGACTTGTAGGATTAGTAAGGAATCGCATTGGAAATCTCAGCAGACTAATAGGATACTTATATTTTCCCACCAATAAAAGAAGTTCCTCTAGATAAATAAATCATACAACAGTGGCAAATAATGTAGTAACAGTTTAGTGGCATTTCAAGACCAATTGCAATAACAGTAGTTTGATATCTTAAATGGTAGGGCCGCAATAAAATAAGCTGATTTTTATGATCAAGTGTATGATGAGAGAAATACAGAATGGCATGGATGGCTTTGGTACTCAGATGCGGTGCTGCTTATCCCTTTTGTTGTAGACACTTAAGACGGAAACCATCTGCAAGAGAATAAAAATAAAAATAATTAGAGTGCAATACCAAAGGGCATGGGCATTGTTGCAGATTGGCAATCAAAATCTCAAGCACTAAAATAAGTCGGTGTCTCTTTGATTTAGCTGTACTGGAAGGAAACTGACCTCCCAAGGAGCAAATTATCAGTGCAATACCAAAGGGCATGGGCATTGTTGCAGATTGGCAATCAAAATCTCAAGTACTAAAATAAGTCGGTGTCTCTTTGATTTAGCTGTACTTGAAGGAAACTGACCTCCCAAGGAGCAAATTATCAAAAACGTGCATGTCCATAGTATATCTATCAGTGACAGAAACTCATATATTAAGACCTCTTAAAGACGCAACCACGTACACATACTTGATCTAGAACATTCACAGTTTGTAGTTTCAATGACAACAACTCATATATTCAGTTCACACTTTAGTCATTCAGCAAAAAAATCATTGCAGTGTCCCAGGAACACACTGAATCTTGTCGTACAGATCATTAGATGCAAATGCCATGAAGATGATCAAAAGGCACATCAGAAGCTCAGGCTAGAGCTCCATTTCTTTAGGCAGTGTTTTCCTCCGTCTGTGCTGCGGTTGTTGGTTGGGGGAGAGAGGGAGAGGTGAACATGTAGGTGTGGAGATGAAGCCGGAATTGCAGGCACCACAGCTCTGACCATCTCCAGGGCATCCGGCATACCTAGCAGCGGCTCCCCGTCGGCGAACGAAGCTGAGATACGGAGAGAGCCACTTTGGGCCTGTATGCGCTGGTCGCCATCTAGCCGCGCGAGAGATGAGCCGCGCTCCTCCTACCGGGTGCACGCATCGGCGGCGCCAGGGGTATTCATGTGAATTCCTCTCCTGGCGCTCGAGCATCTCTTGACGGGAGCACGATGGCGACAGCGCCGCGGATGGATGGACACCGCGGAAAGCTCGGCAACCTTTCATCTCTGTGGCCGGCGCTCAGCCCTGCCTAGCCTCGACGCGGAGGAGGAGATAGCCGGCGGCGGAGGCGGCGGAGGCGGCACGCGACCCAAAGCAGACTCCTACTCCGTTTCTAGGGTTAGGCGTTGGGGGAGGGGAACGGCATGATGGGGACATGGGTGGGAGGAGGAAGTCAGGCGGCGACGGGGAATGAGGCTGTGGTGGCGGCGCTAGGGCCGGGAAGAGGAGAGGACGGCGCCTGAGGAGAAGGGAGGAGGCGCCTGAGGAAGAGGGAGGAAGAGGCGAGGCTGGGAGGGTGGCGGCGCGAGGGGGACGGGAGGAGGGGCGTCTAGAGTTATCCCCACGGGAGCAGGAACTTTTTATACCCCATGACGCGAAATGACGAAAATGCCCTCGGCGGGGCACAAGATTTACATGCGGTGGCACGAACATCTCTATACTGTTCATTGCTACAGGGTCATCGATCCGATCCGACGGCCGATGCTCTCTAGCGGCTAGATCCGATCGACCAGAACGCATCAAGCAAACGAATCGGACGACTAGAATCGCCTGAGCTCTGAGGAGGCGCGGCAGTGACTGTCATCCTTATTTCTCGATACGCGTATAGCCACGGGGTAATTACCGGGTATAACCAATGACCAAAGCATGAAAGCATTAAAAAAATTTGGAAATCCTTATGTGTAGAAGTGCATGCTCTAGCCAATGCAACTAAAAGACCGATCAGATGGAAAAGACTAGGTAGCACATTATACGTCAACAATCCCCCTCACGCATGGCTCCCTCAGGTCTAAACGTGGACCGAAAATGGGCTGCAATTTAATTGCGCCAGCCGGGTCTTGAACTCAAGACCTCTTGGCTCCGATACCATGTACTTTCACTCCAACATGCCCTGTGTCTGCACGTTGCTCTTCCACTCCAACATGCCTCCTCGGTTCTGGCCGGACGCCCTTGCGGCCTGCCCCCGCTTCCGCTGCCCACGTCATATAGCTCCAAACGAGCATAGACATGAGGGAGAGTGTTGGAGTATAATGTCCGTCCCTCTCCACAAATCGGTCTGATGGATGAACTAGTTATGTGCATAAACTTACAACAAAGAGATTCAGGGTTCAAAACCCAGTAAACGTAATAAATAATTGCGGCCTGCCCCCGCTTCCGCTGCCCACGTCATATAGCTCAAAAGGAGTATAGACATGAGGGGGAATGTTGGAATATAATGTCCGGCCCTCTCTCTCAGATTGGTCTTTTGGTTGCATTGGCTAGAGCACATACTTCTACTGCTCAAAATGAAAGTCACAGCAGTTTGGGTGCGGGAAAGAACCCAAATAATAATACAATGGAGTGCTCAAAATTGTGCTTATTCTGGTAGAAAACCATGCGGTAGGATTCAATAGTAGACGAACCACCCACACAATGTATGCATTCATTCATGGGTAGACTTCAATGATGGATCGATGTCCCACTGGAGTGAACTTATAGTCCCCAAATCCTGCTTCAACGAACATCTTCTTCCACTGCTGCTCGTCTCGTTCGACCCCATCGATGCCCATCATCATGATATCAAATAGAATTGCGTCTCCTTAAGAATAACATTCTGTGACGCCCCAGAATCTATCACGCCATCGAAGATTATCACCTTCCCTCCAGCTGGTATAGCTTCCTTGCACCGCCGTAGTACCTTGACGGCATCTTCGTCTCGCCATATGCATAGAATCCACTGAGAAGGAACGAACGACAACACATATAGTAGGTACGTACGTACGTATATGTAATTCAATTGAATGAACAAATGGCATAGTATAATGTCCTACTGTAGTGTACCTTGAGAAGGATAGCGTCGGCTGGTGGTACATACTCAAACACATCGCCAGCAACATACTGGACGTCGTGGCTGGTAGGTGCGCCAACAATCACGTGTGGGAGGTCTAGCACGGTGCACTTGACGTGTGGGAGGGCCTTTGCGATTGCTGCGGCTGCGGCACCAAGGGCACCGCCCGCGTCAACAAGCGAGCTCACCCCCTTAAAAATGTCCATGTGCTCTTTCAGGACTACCTCCATGACGAGGTTGGTGTCGGCGACCATGGCGGCCTGGAATATGCCACATGCGCCCTTCTTGGCTTTCATCTTCGATGGTGTGCAGCCATGCGTCACCTCAAATAGTGTCATGGCTGACGCCCGCTCGTCGGTGAACCACTCTTTTATATCGAAGAGCATGGTCAGCTTCAGCAGTTCGACAAGCAGAGGCACCATGGGAGACAGGTTGCACATGCTCTCGCCGCCTTCGACAAGGATGCTGGAGACAAGAGTGAGCTTGTACCTGGCATCATCGTCGTAGCCTTCGACAGAGCAGATGCCAGTGACGGTGAGCGCGTGCATGAGCCGACGGAGGTGGGAGTACTTGCTCGGGTGGATCCCGGTTTGGGTGGCAATGTCAGACAATGTCGCCAGACCGCCGTGGCGATGGATGGTATCCGGGATGCCTAGTTCCGTGGCAGCCCTGAGCACCACAGACTTCACGTACCCCAAGGAGTGGTGGTAGAGCTCAAGTTGAGCTTGGATCAAGCCCTCTGTGGCTGTGCTTATCGCATTTTTGTGTTGCATTCCTGACGCCATGATTTGTGTTGTGTGCCAAAAGCTCCCTTACTCATAAGGGTTCTTATAGACGTGTGTGCATGGGAGGAGGCAGGATTGAAAATTAGTGGGGGCCAAAGCTGATATATTTCAATTAGGGAGGCCAACAAAGCTAACTCTTCTAAAAAGTTCTGTCTAAATTGGCCTTAACTAAAAAGAAAATCAGGTTTACAATTTCATAGGAGGAGCCAGCAGGGCCCCCCTTGCTCTGCCATTGGTCTGGGGTTTCCTTCGAGCCTTCTCCATGCTAATTCCTTCCGCTAGCGTGGAGTCTGTCTACAACTCTACATGCATGGAATCTCCCCGCAGACACAAAGTTTGCTTCTTTTTTTCCATTTCGACTTGGACTCTATCTAAATGTAAGAACTATAAGTTCTATGAACGTTTTTAAATTATAAGGAACATCCCATTTAGTAGCCTCTCTCCTCCAATTAATCTATGACCTAACTTTTCTCTATCTTTTTCATGCACGTGAGACCATTGAACGTGCACTGATTAATAATGAATAGTAATTTTTTTTATTCGTGAATTAGCCGTTCTGTCTTATAATCTCTAACAGAGGGAGTAGTGGAGTAGCTAGTTCTAGTTCGTCAACACTTTGGTGTATCTTTCTTTCTACTTTTAATTGCTAGCCGTATAATATAGTGGTTCCTGCAACAATATATTTTTCCGATCACAAAACTGCTTGCCGAGCGAATTACTTTTTTATTACAAAAACTAAACTATGCTAGCTCATGCGCGACTGAATTTGCTTCGCGTAAAACAATGAAAAAAGATGACCTTTCCTATTGACGTTGATAAATCTATGCACTTTGCCGAGCGAATTACTAGTGCGATGGACGGGTGGGGCGTGGCTTGCCGTAATCTACTGGGTAAGATATGGCCATTTGATAACGCCTGGACTCAACGCCTCGTGGTTGCCTGGGCCCTTTTTTTGCCTCCCGGGAGATTTTCTCCACGGGACCAGGCTGAGTAAAAACGTGGACTGAGTCTGGTTGTGCCCTTCGTTTGGTCTCCCGTATGGATCTCGGTGCAAAACAATACACGGGATTTGGTTCACATCTCGCACCGCGTGGCATTTGAGCATTTGTGGTTACCCAAATATGCTTAGCTAAATCCCTCTTAATCTTCTCAACCGTGCTCCGATTCGAAAAAAGTTCTACATGAAAATGGTTCGCCTCGTTGTTGCTACTCTAATGTGGGCATCGATTTGAAGTTTCGTCTAGTATTTGAATCTCTATTTTGTATTCCCTTTTGTAGCTTGTTCAATGAAATTTGTCAAATTCTTCGCACACGGTCAACCGTTTGAAATTTTCGTCGAGGAGTAGCTTCATCTCGTCGTTCCCCACAAGTTTCAGGTTGCAAGTTTTTCATTTTGACGTTCATAGACAAGTACAACTACAGGTCCTTACGGTGTATTAGGGAGGTGTAGATGTACTCGTCTACGTATGTCAAAGTAGAAAACTTGCAACACGAAAATTGTGTGAAAATGCAAGATGAAGCTACTCCTCGAAGGAAATTTCAAATAGTCGACCGTGTGCGAGGAATTTGACAAAATTCGTTCAAACAAGCTGCAAACATGAATACGAGTTAGAGGTTCAAATACTTAAAACTTCAAATCGATGGCCACATCACATTACCAATGTCAAGGCACACCATTTTGATGTAGAGCTTTTTTTGAATCGATGCATGTTAAGAGGGAACGCCTCTGTGCCAAAACACGTACATGCTTGCACGCGTGGGGAAGAGAGCATGAAGCTTCAAGCAGCAACTAGCCAGGCTCGCTGGAAATGGCCGAATCAAACATTTCCAACGGGCGTGGCTGAGAAGTGCTTTAAAGCGTGTGCGCGCCAGAATTTCAGTGCGAGCCAGCAGGTCAAACGGGCCATAATTCGACTGCAACAGTGCGAGAAGAGGCCTTCCGGGCAACCAAACACGTTCTTATTGTGCGCATGACTTAGACCATCTCTAGTAGTCCCTTTAAAAGGGAGAAATCTGTAAAATTCCGGCGAGCTTAAGGGTTTAGGCCCAGTTTTCGTGTAGAACAGAGCCCTTATATTGAGCGCGGCCCGTAAATGAGATACAGGCCACCGTAAATCGGAACCCTCGGCCGGTATTTATTCCGCTCGAGCGGTAGTTTGAGTTTTAGAACCCTAGTCCCTCCGCCACCTCCGCCCCTAGTTCCCTGCCGTCGGTCAAAACTCCAGCCGCGTCCCGACGCCGATTCGCTCCGCCGCAGCCGACATGGCAGCGAAGACAAGGTCCACCATGCCGGGGCGAGCCCGTGGAGGCCTTAGCGGCGCCTCCGCAGGCCCCAACGCATCGGCCGGCCACCGCGTTATCTCCGCCGATGAGAGGCTCCAGCTCAGCCGCTCGGAGGGAGCGCGCAAGCGCTCCGCCAGCCTCAAGCGCAAGTGGGCCTGCCTTGCATGGTTCTCCTCCAGCGGCGAGGGGTCCTCGCCCATGAAGGCCGCCCTATCCTTGCCGGAGGTGAAGGTGGAGCCCGTCGAGGTGGAGCCCACCAAGCGCGCCCTGATCGAGCACGGCGCGGACGGGGTCAGCGTCACCGAGCTCAATTACGTTGCGGAGGAAGAGCTCGAGCGCGTCATGGCGCACAGCTCTGGGAGCAGAGTGGCCGCTACGCCAAGGCGGCCGCCGAGGAGCGCCGCCACAAAGAGGAGGTAAATGACTACCTCCCCCGGCATGGCATGGCGCCCGAGCAAGACCTACGCCTACTCCAGGAGGAGTGGAAGCTCGAGGTGGCTCGGCAGGCTGAGATGTTCGTCGACCTCGTCTCCGACGAGGATTGAGAAGCCGACTACTGGCTCGGGCCACATTTTGTAAAATTTGGCTTCCCTCACTAGGAGAAACAAGGGCATTAGCCCTGGGACGGGATGGCCTCTAGCCCCGGCTACGCACCTGGGACATCTGAATCTGGACTAGAGCCCCTCACCCCTCTAGTCCCTGTTCAGTTATGAGCCGGGACAAAAGAGTCCGCCACGTGGCCGCTACAGGAGCGCGTGGTCGAGGACCTCTAGTCCCGGTTGGTAATACGACCCGGGACTAACTATTTTGTGAATTTTTTTTCTCATTTTGGGGTTTAGGGTTATGTTTCCCATATTTTATTCATTTTGGGGTTTAGGGTTTATGTTTCCCATTTCGGGGTTTGGGGTTTAGGTTTATGTTTTCATTTATTCTCAATTATTTTAACTCTAATCATTCTTAATTTCTCACTTCTAGTGACACTTTCCAGTCGGCCACCCATCCTCAGACTGCTCCATCCCCAGCACGCTTAACTTCTTAGTTCGTTCCCTATGAGCTTCCAAATGTTGCTGGAATTCAGAAGTTTAGATGATGAGAATGCTTGCAGTTGAAAAGTTTATTATAAGGACTGAATTAGACAATAACACAATACAGTTACCAGTATATTATAAAGAATACATAATGGTTACCATTTTGACAACAAGATTGACAAAGACATTCATAATCCTTCTCGTAATAAAAATCGTTGCTGAATTTATTGCCAAATGCCAAGAGAAATACAAATCAGAAGTTGAACCTATATTTCAGATATGACCAAGCAAAATCGAACATCACCTAAAGATTTCCAAACCATTCAGAAATGAACAGAAGCATCTCAGTTCACTTAGACGAGCTGACACTGATCCATCGGCTATAGCCTACAGCTTCCGACAAGTCTTCACTGTCACGTGAAGGCGTCGAGGAGGACGTCAGCAATTGATCAGAATAAAGCTTGCATGTGTCCCCGCACTTCCTCTCGCACCTCTTATTCCTCTCGCCCCGCACCTCCAATCCTCTCGTTCCTCTTATTCCACGCGGCTGCTGCGGGCAAAGCCGCGTGGCTGCCAAGGACGGGGCGGCGGGGAGGTCCTTCTGTCCAGATATGCCTCCGGTGGTAGGTCGCGGATCTGCAGCGGCTCGTGCTCGACACTGCGAGGATGGGACGGATCTGGCCGGATCCTATCCTGAGCAGGCGTCGGGTCGGTGTTGCTGCTAGATCTCTCGTGGCACCTATGCATGGGGGCCAAGGTGGAGGTAGCACCTGCGCCCGGTGTTCTGCCGTTGGTCGCGCCCACGGTGGCCATGGCGGCGTCCCTAGTCATGTGGCGGCGGTGCTAGCCCCATGCATGGACGCCGGGAACGGGCAGGTTCTCTAGTAATGGTGGGCATGGCGGCGGTCACGGATTTCGATCCCACCCAGATCAATCGTCGGTTCCTCAGGTGTATGGCCGGCAGCGCGATGAGGGGTCAAGTGAGGAGCTTGAGGATCTCTGTCGGAGTACCAACGGCATCATGCGTATCCATGGCGAGGCTCCGCGTTGTTCCAGCCAGCCGCAGGATCGGGACGACGCGGCTTCCGGTTAAAATCACGCCTGACTGCGGTCCTGGCGGACGATGGCGGTGTCTCTGACGTCATTTTCTTCTCAAGGATTCGTCGTTGAAGGTCACATCCACTCGATCGTGTGTCTACCGGATCGGACGATGACGGCGCCTTCGGTGTCGTTCTCCCTCCCGGGGCATCGTTTTGGAGCAGGAGCTAGATGGAGGGGGCAAGAGGAGGAGCGGTGTTACATCTACCGCAAGGCCGACAACAGATCCCGACAGCATGGCGCTGCGGAATTTCGCCGACGAGCGCGAGTGGATGGATACGTGCAGGATGGTGGCTTTGTCTGGCGCCATGGTGGCGTGGACGGCAGCCTGGCAAGGTCGGTGTGTCATTACCTACTCTGGAGATTGATCGGTGGAAGACGACGGCGACGGCCTCTGAGAGTGCACCAGATCGGTGTGTGAGCTAGTCCTGGTATTGTGACTAGGCTAGGGCATCCGGTTTTAGATGTTTGGCTTTGGTGTGATGTCTATTTGATATTAGGCTCGGACATTCATCACCTCTTAATCAAGGGATAGGAGTAGCGACAATTATTGCCAAAATGGTGACTTCAGTTTTACTGATGTATTACTTT